AGTTCCTGGGTCAAATGTTATCTCTATTTGCAACTTTTTGAGAAAGCGCCACACCGCCTTCTTCAGTGGTTGCACCATTTTACACTCCCACCAACAGTGAATAAGGGTTCCAGTTTCTCCACAACTTTGTCAGCATTTGTTGCTTGCTGTTCTGTTAAATTTTGCTATTTTTACTGGGGTGAGATGATACCTCATAGTTGTTTTCATATTTCCTGATTTCAAACCGTATAGTGTTACCTTGTTCTGTTCCATCAGCTACTTCTTGGTTTATGTTTATTATGTATAGGTTTCACATGAGCACAATGAAGTGTTCTGGAATTCCCATTCTTCTCAGTATTACCCATAATTTGTAGGGCAATGTCTTTGTATAGTAAATAAAGCACAAATAAACATTTTTTCTGACATTACCTGCTTTCAGCTATGATCTATCTGACATCAGCCTTAGTTATAGCCTTAGTTCCATGGCCTCTTCTGAATCCAAATTAAATTTCTGGCAGTTTCCTATTACATCTGTTTTTGAAAAATCTTCAGCAAGATTTTGCTTATATGTGACCTAATGATATTTGATAATTTCCACATTTTGTTGGGTCACCTTTTTAGGGAATTGGAACAAAATGGTTGGCTGACCAGGTAACTAACTGCCTTCCAAATTTCTAATGAGCATATTTGTTGAAACATGTCAATTGGTATTCCATTAATTCCTAAGGCCTTATTTTTGCTGATGCTTTCAGATGTCTTGAACTTCTTTCTTCTTTACCATTAATTCTTGATCATATGCTGCTTCCTGATATAGTTCAGTGTCAGCCAATTCTTTTTTGTACAATTGCCTCTGTGTCTATGTCTTCCATCTTCTTTTGATGCTTCCTGCATCATTAAAGATTTTGCCCATAGAATCCTTCAATATTGCAACTAGAGGCTTGAATTTGTCCTTTAGTTCTTTAAACTTGAGAAATCCCAATCTTGGTGAGAAGGTAGTCAGTGATAAGTATTCAGTTTTGCACCATTAATTATATTAGCTGTACTGATACCTTGATACGAAGACCAGATGAGCTGTGGGAGGATATCAAGAATATCATCCATGAAGAATGCAAAAGGTCGTTACAAAAAAACAGAGGAAGAAGAAAATACTAAGATGGATGTCAGAAGAGATTCTGAATATTGCAATAGAGGGCCAAGAAGCCAAAGCAAAGGAAAGAAATCAGGAAATTAAAGAGCTAAACAGAAGATTTCAAGGGATAGTGCAGGAAGACAAAGTAAAGTATTATAATGAAATGTGCAGAGAGCTGGAGTCAGAGAATAAAAGGGTTTAATTGACTCAGAATTTCTTAAGCTGAAGGAACTGAAGAACAAATTCAAGCCTCAAGAGGCAATACTTAAGGATGCTATGGGAAGAATATTGAATGATCTAGGAAGCATTAACAGAAGAAGGTGGAAGGAGCACACAGAGTCACTGTCCCAAAAGAATTGGCTGATGCAAAAGAAAATCATGAAACAGAGTATGGCCAAGAGGCAATGGTGATGAAGGAAGAAGTTCAAGTTATTCTGAAGAAATTGGCAAAAAACAAGGCTCCAGGAATTGATGGAATATCAATTGACATATTTCAGCAAATAGATGCTGCCCTGCACATGCTAACCAAGTTATGCCAAGAAATCTGGAGAACAGCTATCTGGCCAGATGGTTGGAGGAGATCCATATTTATTCGTGTTCTAAAAAATGGTGATCCGTCAGAGTTTGGAAGTTATCAAACAATATCACTAATATCACATGCAAGCAAAATATTGCTGAAGATTATCCAAAAATGACTGGGACAGTACATCAACAAAGATTAATTTGGGTTTGGAAGAGGCCGTGACACTAGGGACATCATAAACCAACATTAGATGGATCTTAGCCAAAAGCAGGGAATACCAGAAGAATGTCTATCTGTGTTTCATTGGCTGTGCAAAGGCAATTGAGTGTGCAGATCACAACAAATTGTGGCTAACCTTGAGGAAATTGGGAATCCCAGAACACCTGAGCGTGCTCATGTCGAAACCTTTACCAAGAAGCAAAGCATGGTTCAAAATCAGGAAAAGAGTACGTGAGGGATGTGTCCTGTCTCCATATCTTTTCAATCTGTATGTGTAACAGATCATTTGGAGCGTCATTATGAGGAGGAATGTGGCATCAGGATTGAAGGAAGACTGATCAACAACTAGAGTTAAGCAGATGACACAACCTTGCTTGCCAAAACTGAGGAGGACCTTAAGCATCTGCTGCAGGAGGTTAAGAAGTGCAGTCCTTTGATAAATATTGAAGCCCAACATCAAGAAAACAAAGATTGTCACCACTGGTACAATTGGCAGCACCATGATAGATGGAGAACAGATTAAGATTATTAACACTTTCTTGTGTCCACACTCAACACTCTTGGCACCAGCAGTTAAGGAATCAAAAGATGAATTGGATTAGAAAAGTCTACTCTCAGGGATCTCTCCAGAGTGCTGAAGTGCAAAGATGTCAGTCTAGAGACTAAGGTGCATCTGATCTGGGCCATGGTCTTTGCAATTACTTGTTATGCATCAGAGAGCTGGGCATTGAGTAAGGATGACAAAAGAACTGATGTCTTTGAATTTTGGTGCTCAAAAAGGGTATTGAACATACCATGGACTGCTAAGAGAACAAACAAGTCTGTGCTGGAGAGTGAAACCAACTTGCTCTTTGGAGGCAAGGATTTTGAAGCTCTATCTCACATATTTTGGACATGTTCCCAGAAAGAACCAGTCCTGAGGAAAAACATCATGCTTGGAAGAGTGGAGGGATAGCACAGGAGAGAAAGGCCCTGGGATAAGATGGATTTACACAGTGACTGGGGTAATGTGGAGTTTGTGTGTTGGAAACCATGAGATTGGATCAGGATAGGACAGTGTTCAGAGCTGTTGTACATAGGGTCGCTTAACAAGAAGCACTGGTGGCCTGCCTAGTGGTAAGAAGCTGCACCGTAATCCCAAAGGCACGTGGTTTGCTCTGTGGAAGAAAGATGGACAGTCTTCTCCTGCTTCTGGACACCTACTGGAGGGTCAGCTATGAGTCAATTCTGACTTGAGGGCACATCACAGCATGGGTCTTACCAAGTGAAGGGCTTTTCCTTCTGTTCTTCATTTATTGAGGATTGTTATGATAAATTTTGTCAAATACTTCTTCTGCACAAAATCATAAGACTATATGTCATTTCATTTTCCTTTAAACTGTTAATATGGTAAATTGCATTGATTTCTTTTTAAATTTTGAGTCAGCCTGCCGTTCCAAGAAAGCCAACACAGTGTGATGCATTATTTTTTAACAGATAAATTCTGTTTGCTTCTCTTTTATTGATTTTTTTGTACTTATGTTCATCTTATTATTATTAGGACTGTGCAAATTATATATTTCATTGTGGATTGTTAGTTCAAGTAATTTTGGTTTTGAGGAATTAGTCCATTTCATTTAACATGTTGAACTTATTTGCAAAGACTTGTTCATAATATTCCTTTTTCATCCTTTACACACAAGGTATTTGCCTTGTTTCATTCATTACTGGTAATTTGTATTTTCTTCTTCTCCTTTTTCTTTGTCAGTTTTACAAGTTTTATGCTTTCACTGATGTTTCCTGAGGGCCCCTTAGGGCTCATTACTGTTCTCTTCAGCATTGCCGTTTTCTGCCTCATTGGTCTCTGCCCTTGTTCTCTTTCCTTTAGGTCTGCTTTAGGGTTTATTTATACTCTATTCCTACATTCTTAAAGTGTAAACCTAGATTGTTTATTTAAAACTTTTATTCTTTTCTAAAATGAGCATTTAGTGGTTAACATTTCTAATTACTGAGTTAATGGCATCCCTCGAGTTTTGATGTTTGTGCTCTATCTGTGTTTAGTTCAGACTATGCCTGTTCTTTTTCTGCAGATGGGAATTTCCTTCTGGTGACATCTCCCTTCATCTGGGAGAACTTTCCGTGAGCCTTTGTCATAGTACAGTTTTGCTGGCAACAAATTCTCTGACATTGATTTATCTGAATTTTTTTCTTTCACTAAATGTAAAATGATGGGTAGACAGATTTCTTTTTGCCCTTCAGCAGTTTAAAGATGCTGTCTCTTTCATTCCATACTTAAGTCAGTTATATTTTTACTGTTGTTCCCTTTTGTCCCACACGTACCCAGGACTTTTGGAATTGCCTGTCTTAGTTTTCATTGTTTGACCATAATGTTCCTAGGTGTGATTTTTATTTGGGTTTTTTATTTCCTTTTGAGGATTAACAAGTTTCTTGATCTGTGGGTTGATGTTTTTCACCAAATTTGGGGAATTGTTTGGTCATTACTGCATTCTTGTTGAGCCAGGACTGATTTCTTCCTTGTGTGAACTCTGGGATGTCCTTTGAGGCCTCTACCTTCATGCATTCTGCCTCGCCCCACCATACCACACCATCTCATAGGCCAGAATCTCACCCTGAGTAAGTGCAGCCTAGCCCTTTGCCAGATCCCCAGGAGGAACCTCCACACAGGATTCTGAGGTCACGACTTCATGCAGCCCCCTCCTTTACTGGACTCTGCTCTGAAAATTCCACAGCCTTAGCACCCCTGGACTCTGGTCTGTTTGATCAGCTGAGCAAGACCACTTCCCATAGGGTTAAGTTCCTCCTTCCTCAGCTATCGTCTGGAAAGTGTTTTGGAAAGATTGTCATTGCTGTGTACCGTAAGTCTGAACCAGCAACCCATAGCTGACCCTCCGGTGGGTTTTCAGAGGTGGTAGGAGGGGATTTCTCCTGCAAAGCAACTAGTAGACTCAAACCCTGGGCCTTTGGGATTGCAGCACAGCTTCATAACACTAGGCCACCAGAGCTCCCTTCCCAAGAAGTCATGGAGAATAAAGGTGGTCCTTGTGCAGATGAGGCTTGGCTGCCCACTTCAGCTCCTTGGCCTCTGCACACACATTAGAGGGAGCTGGAGGAGGGGCTGCAGCACTCTCCTGGGCTGTGTGTCTCCTCTAGACAGCAGTGACAGTGACCTGGAGCTCTCCACGGTGCGCCACCAGCCAGAAGGGCTGGACCAGCTGCAGGCTCAGACCAAGTTTACCAAGAAGGAGCTTCAATCCCTCTACAGGGGCTTCAAGAACGTGAGTGAACCGTGCCTGGGAAGTGCAGAAGGGGCCCTCTAGAAACCTCAGGGCTCAAGAAATAGCCCAGGGGTCTTGGTGGGAGAACTGTCAGGGGGAGGAGTTTTCCAAAGGTCCACACTCCCATCTACTGCTACCTAGCTCTGGGAGAGTATCTAGAGCTACCCCTTTCCCACACACTCTGTCCTGCCACTGCTCATCCTGCACTCCCTGCCTCTCCCCTCTGGAGTCTGAGTAGAGCCCTGCAGCCCTGTGGAGTCCTGGCATGGGCATAGAGTGGAGGGCAGCGAGGCAGACACTGAGGGGTGGCTTCTGCTGCAGGAGTGTCCCACAGGCCTGGTGGATGAAGACACCTTCAAGCTCATCTACTCACAGTTTTTTCCTCAGGGAGGTGAGCCAGAGCCCAGTCCCAGGGTCCCTCTGGAAGCCCCACAGTGTGGCAAAGCTGCAGAGGGTGGGCACCCCTTCCATCCTGGGGTATATCTCCCCCCCACCTTGTGCTGCCTCTGTCCTGCTGTAAAAGAATCCTGGAGACACAGTGGGGCTATACCAGGTGGGGCTGCCTGGAGGACCTGGACCCTCAACCCTGCCTTCACTCCTGCCAGATGCCACCGCCTATGCACACTTCCTCTTCAATGCTTTCGATGCTGATGGGAATGGGGCCATCCACTTTGAGGTAAGTTCCAGCTGAACCCGCACCTAGACTGGATTCTGTGTGAACTGTTGCATTGTGTCACCCAGGGGAGAAGTAGACTGCAGGACCAGCCTGGACCCCAGCGTGAAGCTCCATTTTGCTGCCTGATCTTCCTCTCCCAGCCATGTTTTCCATCCTAAGTGCTCGTGCTCTGCTTCCCTCCGCAAAGGACCCAACTAGTGCATACAGACTGGTTAATGACTCAAATCTGACTTACAATTTGAAAGAAGAGGTTTAACCCTAAGGTGAAGTTTGCAAATGGTGGGATTTCAGGCACTTGCTGCTGACTGGAAGGGCCCCCAGCAGGAAGAAGAACCTGTCCCCAGTAGAAAGCCTAGGTGTCTGGGGTGGGGAAGGTGCTCTGTGCCAATGCTGTGGGTGTCCCCTCAGATCTGGCCACACAGTAACTTCGAGAAAGGTCCCCGGCTGTGGTGAAGCCCACGTGCCTAAAAATAGCTGCAGACCCAAAGCTGAAACCTCTTCAGAGAGGAAAACCTTGGCAGCGGCAGCCCAGATCAATATCCTGCCCGGCTCAGATCGCAGGTCAAGGGCGGCTGGCAGGAAGGTGAGAGAGCTGCGGTGCAATAATAACCACGTCAGTACAGCTGCCCAACTATTTTTATAGTGAGATGGCAGGGCTGGAGAAGGGCGGGGGACAGCCCAGGCCCCACCTGCTTCTTCCTTCCACTGTTGGGCCCCAACCTGTTCTTGGCATCACTTAGGGCTATTGCTTATGGAAACAAGCAGTGGTTCACAGCTGTGATTTTAAGTGGCACAGAAGGGGAGTGGTGTCTAGTCAGTACAGTGGAGTAAGCAGGGAAAATGCCTTGCCCCTCAGCCTGCCCTGCTGTGACCAGTTGCTCATGTGCCTTTAAGAAGCAATGGAGACTTCCTGGGATAAAATGTGTGAAAGGCCCACATGAGGCTTTATTTGGTGGTCTTTGGGATCCCCCCCTTAAGTTTATTATGATATGTTATTATGTGCTGCATAGACAAAACCAACTGACCCTCCAGCAAGTTTTCATAGTCTGTAAATCCCACTGGAGAAGACTGCTCATGTTTCTCCCGCAGACCAACTGGTGATTTCAAACCATGTGCCTTTGGGTTGGCAGCACAAATCCTTACCACTAGACCACCAGACCTGCCTATTTTAGTATACACACACACACATATATCTCTATGACAATATAGATATATTTAAAATTAATAAGGAGTGTGTCAGGGTTGTATTCTCTCTCCATATCTATTTGTATGCTGAGCAAATTGTTTGAGAAGCTGGACTCTATGAAGAGGAATGTGGCATCAGAATTGGAAACTCATCAACAATCTGCATTATGCAGATGACACAACCTTGCTTGCTGAAAGTGAAGAGGACTTGAAGCACTTGTTGCAGAAGATCAAAGAATCCAACTTTCAATATGGATTGCATCTCAATGTCAAGAAAACAAAGATTCTTACCATTGGGCCATTAGGCAACATCATGATGAATGGAGAGGAGATTGAAACTGTCAACAACGTCTTGCTTAGATCCACAATTAACACCCTTGATATCAGCAGTCAGGAAATCTGCAGTTAAGGACCTCTCCAAATTACTGAAGAGTCATGATGTGAGTTTGAGGACTAAGGTACCTCTGATTCAGGTCATCGTCTTTCTGATCACTTGTTAAGCATCTGAGAAGATGACAGAGGAAGAATTGATGCCTTTTAGCTGTGGTGTTGGAGGATAGGTCTTGGAGGTAAGGATGATGGATGCTCTCATACTTTGTCCATGTTGCTATGAGGTGCTATTCCTTGGAGAAGGACATGATACTAAACGGGTGGAGGGTTGGTGAAAGAGAGGAAGACCTTCAACCAGGTGGATTGATAGGGTGACTGCTGCAACGGGCTCTTGTGTGTCAGGAAGAGTGTGAGGATGGAGCAAAATAGAACAGATTCAGATCTTTAGTTCATAGGGTTGCTCTGAGTCATACTCACCTTGACAGCACCTAACAACAACAAGTGGTAAGAAGCTGTGCTGTAATCCCAAAGGCATGCTATTTGAATCCACCAGCTGCAACTGCTCCATGGGGATAAGAATGGGCCATCTCCTCTCCTCAATGGTATACAACAACAGCATATATAAGGGAGATCTAATGGGTGGCCTAGTGGTAAGAAGCTGTGCTGCATTCCTAAAGGCACATTATTCAAATCCACCAACTGCTCCGCAAGAGAAGAATGGACAATATCTTCCCTTGCCATTTACTTACTACCTCTGCAAACCCTCAGCTATGAGTCTATTCCAACTCAATGGCACACAACAACAAGATAGATGATAGATAGATTAGATAGATAGATAGATAGATAGATAGATAGATGATAGATAGATAGATTATAGATAAGAGAGAGAGAGAGGCTCTTGTGGCCTAATGAGTAGAGTTGTGCTGCCAACTCACAGGCAGATGGTTCTTCTAACCCACCAGCTGCTCTGTGAAAGAAGATAAACAGTCTTCTTCTATGCAATTTACAGTCTGTAAAGACCTGCTGGAGAATCAACTACAAGTTTATTCTTACTCAACAGCAATCATTTATGCATATATATCAATAATATGTAACTATTACATGTGCTGTGGTTATTATGTGCCATCGAGTCGACTATGACCCATAGTGATCTTATATTAGCTCTGAAGCTTGCCCTATTCTGAGCCAACCACATCATCTCTGACACACCTGACCCATTTTCACAGTCACTGTGTCCATCTTCCTCTCTCTGGCTGACCCTCTACCCTGCCAAGAATGATACCCTTCTTCAAGGACTGGTCCCTACTGGAAACATGCTCAAAGTTTCATAATCCTTGCCTCTAAGGAGCAGCCTGGTTTCCTCCAGGATAGGCCTATTTGTTCTCTTGACAGTCCATGATATGTTCAATCCTCTTCTTCAATGCCACAGCTCAAAGGCATCAATTCTTCTGTCATTCTAAGTCATTGTGTAGCTCTCAGATGCACAGTAAGTAATTGAGAAGACCATGACTTGGAACAGGGCCACTTATTCTTTAGGCCAACATCTTTGCTCTTTAGTACTCTGGAAAGGTCCTTAACAGCAACTTTTCATGCAATTCATTTCTTGATTTCCTCCTTGCTGGTACCAAGAATGTTGATTGTGGATCCAAGCAAGATGAATCATTAAAAACTCCAATCTTTTCTCCATCCAGGATGATGCCTATTGTCCTGGTAATGATGATTTTCGTTTTCTTCATGTTCAGATGCAATCCATATTGAAAGCTGTAATCTTTAATTTCTGCAGCAAACACTTCAAGTCCTCCTCAGTTTCAGTGAGCAAGATACTTCTTCATAAAGTTCAGCCTCCAAAATGATTTGTTTAGTATACTAATGGAGAAGGTAATGAGAAAGAATACACAAATGACACACTCCTTTCTTGATTTTTAACAGAACACTGTTCCCTTGCTCTGTTCAGACAACAGATTCTTAATCTAGATATAGATTTCATATAAGCACAATCAGGTGTTTCAAATTCCTATTCGTCCCAAAGTTAGCTACAATGTGATATGACACAGTCAAATGCCTTTTCATAGTTGATAAAATACGCTGTTGTTGTTGTTGTTATGTGCCATCAAGTAGCTTGCGACTCATAGCAACCCTATGTAAAACAGCACTAAACACTGCTCTATCCTGTGCCGATCGCACTGTCTCTGACACACCCATCCTGATTACCCCAGTCACTGAATCAATCCACCTCATAGAGGGCCTTCCCCTTCTGCGCTGTCCCTCCACCCTATCAAGCATGATGTTCCTCTCCAAGGACCGGTCCATCCTTACATGTCCAAAGTATGTCAGACAAAGAACCAAAATCCTTGCCTCCAAGGAGTAACCCAGTTTAACCCTTTCCAGGATGAATCTGTTTGTTTTCTTAGCAGTGCATGGTACATTCAATACTCTTCTCCAGTACCACAGTTCAAAGGCATCAATTCGCCTTCTATCCTCCCTAGTCTTTGTCCCACTCTCTGATGCATAACAAGTGATTGCAAAGACCATGGCCTGTATCAGATGCACCTTAGTCTCCAGAGTGGCACCATTGCTCTTCAGTACTTTGGAGAGGTCCCCAGCAGCAGACTTTCTCATTGCAATACGTCTTTTAATTTCCTGGCTGCTGGTGCCAAGAGTGTTGACAGTGGAGCCAAGCAAACTAAAGTTGTTAACAATCTCAATCTCTTCATCATCCATCCTAATGCTGCCAGGAGCTGATTATGGAACAGACCACCAACTACTCATAAGCAAGTTCAAGCTGAAGCTGAGGAAAATTAAACCAAATCCACAGGAACCAAAATATGACTTTGAGTCTATCCCACCTGAATTTCAGAACCATCTCAGGAACAGGTTTGAGGCCTTGAA